GATGATAGTTCTGGCTCTAATAACTGTCAGGCTTGTGAAAGCAAGTCAAAGATGGTCGAGCTTGTGAAAGGTACCCGCTTGGGCAGCAGAACAAACCTGCGAGGCATTCATTTTGATGTAACCTTTGGACTCGAATCAATTAGGGACGCCAGGTTTACAAAAAAGAAGTTTATGGGCTTAGCTAGCTCAGAAACCGACACTTCTATTTGACACGGAACTTATAAAGAAATTTGGATTGTTGTATGTGCTTGTCGTTTGAACTTGTGCTGGTTACTATTTGAGGATTTCACTTAATCTACCCTGTTGTAAGTTTTTTTTGTAGTTGACTAGTGGGAAAATTTAATTAACTTAATTTCATAACCTTTGATTCAAGTATAAAGTTTTAATTGATCAATTTTGTTGAATTCGCTCAAGTTTTAGAGAACCTGACGATGTTGTGACACTAGAGCATTTAGTAAGGTGTAGACAGTCTAGAGGCTTAATTTACACCTCGAGTTAAAATCACATGAAACATATATTCAACCTCCCTCTAAGGTCCTTTAACAATACAAGAAATTTACATTTTACATATATATGGACCTTTATATAGTGTTTTGCATGTTTTTTTTTCGCGGTCGCCCGTTTTTCATTAAGAGGGGAGGCCAAAAGAAAGACTGGAACACGGATACAAAGGACTCACAAGTAATCCTCGGATTACCCATGGAATTCCCAAGACACAAACAAACAACAAAAAAGCACGGGGGACCTCCACCACACTACACCAACTGACTATGCCTGCAAAAGAAAGATACATCCGCGCAATGGTCGCCAACAGAGGGGGGTGAGGCCGTGGTGGCAAAGCATCCACCGGTAGAATCATGACGACGACCAGTGTAGCCGCTATAAGTAGGCAGACGATGATCCATGAGCGACAGAGTGCAGCCATGCGAAGAAGAGGACATATCCGCCAACTACTAGGTAGCCGTTGCGGAGAAGAAGAAGACTGCGGCAACATCAACACCCGTAGTGGACGGACCAAAGCGAAGTGAAAGCAAAAGCACAAGCAGGCATAGCACAAGCAAGGAGCGGCTCGGACCCAACACCACAGACCTAACCGATTGGACCAACAAAAAAGATTCAACAGAAAGGTTGTCCGCTCAGAAGTTGAAGCCGCAGGGGCAAGGCATCCACCGAAACGAACCATCAGCAACTTCAACAGCGACCGGGTAGCACTGTGAACACACCGAACGACCGTCAGCAACTTCAACAATGACCGGTAGCATTTGTGAACCAAGCGATCTACATGGCAACAACATCAACAACGACCGTGTAGTTCTTTGTGAATCGCGCGATCGCGGCATTAACATCAACAAAGAACTGTAGCCGTTGTGACCCACCGAACAACTATAAGCGGCAACATCAATCGAGGCGGCGGACTCTGCGCGAAGAGAAGAGTGAAGCACACGCAGACACGTAATGGTGAGGACCGGCCCGCGAATGGCGCGTGGGGAACAAGCGGAGTGCATCAACAAAGCCTTCAAGAAAGTGATGACATCCGCGGACGCCAACTTCGTTGTGAGGATCACCTAAAAGGAACTTTTGTCCCCAAACTTGCCCCAACAGCCGCCAACGACGAACCGAGCATAATGACGACGCCTCCAAGAAGGTGATGACGCTAGCGTGCCACCGTCATCGGCCCAAGGCAAGAAGCCTAGCGGGGTTTTCACCCCTGTCTGCCGTCGATCCTGGCTGCCACTGAAGGAGAGCATGTTGGCTTGGCCAAGAGCAACTGCCATAGAGGAGCAGATCCAGCCATCGGCTCCCCGCCCACCCGGCAAGGTCGTCGTCGCTCGTCGCTGAGGGTCTAGGACACATCCAGACGACAGATGCTATCCAGGGGGCCTCGATCTGGCCATCCATCACTAGTCGATGCCAGGACACCTCCAGACGGCAGGTGGTGTCCAGGGGGCCTAGATCCGGCCATCCGCCACCAGTCAACGCCGTAGGTGAGGCCGACTCGGCCGCAGCCAGCCGTCGAGGGAGGTCTAGACGCCGGAGCGCTAGATCTGGCCCCAAGGGGGGCTAATCCGGCTGGCCGCCGCCGCATACCACCGGAGATGGAGAGGATGGATGGGTCGCCGTCACCCGGCAGCCACCCGGGGCGGCAGCCGATGCAGACCGACCCGGCCAGTTCCCATCACCGAAGGAGGAGAGCTGGCCCTCAGTGCGCCAGATCCGGCCCTTAGTACAGTTAAATCCTTAACTTTCAAAAATATTCTATGGTATATTTATCTATATTTTTTTGTTGTTCCATTAGTAAAACTTCCATGTAATAACTTGATTTGCTCCACCTGGGGATAATATTGTAACGCCACCGCAACTCAATTATTCTATGTTTTTTTGTTTAAATCTCCCATAAATATATATATATATATATGTATATATATATATATCTATATATATGTATATATATATATCTATATCTGTATCTGTATTTTATATTTTCAAACCCCACTAAGAATTATATCTCAACATGCAAGCTATCCACATCAACAACCCAATAGCACATGCAATTATAGCCAACTCGCACATGTAATTATCTCAACATCCACTAACAATCATTTAGTTGTCCACATCAACGTGTCAAATCATTTTCTTCATATAACTATAAATATAAGTAATCTAATCTCAATTTAAATCATCTGTGATTCCCGAAACAACGTGCGGGGGTATCTTGTAGTCTTGTAGTTTTTCTTTATATTTTGAGTGTTTCATATGATACTCCTAATTAATAACTTAGCTCTTACTATATTATATTTTGAAGCGATAAAAGGAAGGCATTTTATGAAGCATGGAGGCCTGGTAGAATAATACATGCTCATGGGCCTAATTACTAATGAGAGGAACTATGGGCCAAACCTCGTTAGCCAACATGGACCAAACATTTCGTTACTTGACATGGTTAAAATTATATGACTGTGGCAAATGGAAAGGAAGGACCCATGAAACATACTGCATACCAGGCTTAGGTGGATGGACACTGGTTAATGTCCACCTAGGTAGAACATCATAGGCTTACGGCCTGAGTTGCATGGCATAGAAATATGATGGAAAGTTGCTGCCCATTTAGAACAAACTTCGTTGCTGAGGATAGTTAACAACTACTCAATCCATCCCAAATTGTAAGACGTTTGACTTTTTTGACACCAAGTTTGACCACTCGTCTTATTCAAAAATTTATGTAAAATATCACTTCTTTCGTCGTGGTTTGGTTTATTAATAAAAATTCTTCAAGAATGACTTAAATTTGACTATATTTGCACAAATTTTTTGAATAAGACGAGTGGTCAAACTTGGGGCCAAAAAAATCAAACGTCTTACAATTTGGGATGGAGGGGGTAATTTTTAACCGAGTGATAGCTAAGACACTAGTTAACATATTAGTTAATGATGAAATAGGATCTCAATAAAATTTTAGCAGTTAACCATTAGCCGTGGAATCTAAACAAGACCTAAAGAGTGTCACAATATTCACTCGACAGAGGTACAACCATAACTATTCAAAGCATGATATATAGACAGGTTAAATTAAGCTTTGGATGACCTACAAAGGTATCATTAGGTGATACTCTAGATTCATCGTGACACATTTGTGAATATTTGAAATTTGAAATCATAGTTAAGAAACATGTAAAGATACTTAGCTAGTGCCACTCGGTACGCGACAACAAAGAAGAAATACCGGTTCAATGTATAATATCTTCTTATTCAAAATTATATTTTACTTATTACACATTCGCGTGATATGACGCTAGTGCGTCAAATGTGTGCGCCGAGTAACGCGTATCCGTTGGATCACAGTAATCCAACGGACCGTTGATGCTCTGCTTGTATATATACCCCCTTCGCCGGACCTTTTCTCCTACCCCTTGACATACCAAACATATACCTAGTATACTGTTTATATTTAGTCTTCTCCGACATCGGGTGACATGTCTACTTGTCGCCTCCGATTCAAAGACCACCATGGTTACTGCTTCTTCATCCCTCAAGGCGTCGTCACCACCACCTCCTCAGACCGCCGTCGTCTTTGACCGAGCAAACACAATTCTATCGTTTTTCTTACTAAATACTCATACTTTCAAAGATAGATACGCTTGGCGGAGTACATAGAGCGTGTCCGCATACCGAACTACCATTTCGGTGGATCGCGAGCGCCGTGGCGACCATCGGTCGGGCGCCCCACGCGAGTCGATGGCCGAGATCACGCGGAGTGAGGTGGAGCCGCTGGAGCCGCGGAGGCCAGCCAAGCCACAATGAGATCGCCAGGGCCGTCATGGACGCGAGGCCCTCTCGGTGAAGAGGATTCCATGGTCACCCGACACGTCCGTCGTCCGTGGGCGCCTGGGCCCTGTTCGCGCAGGACTGAAAAATACTGTTCCGGCTGATTGTTGTGAGAGAAAAAATACCGCATTACAGCGGGGCGTGAGCAGTGATTACGCGAGAGAAAAATAAGCCAGCTGGCTGGAAACAAGCCAGCCGAACAGGGCCCTGAGCTGCGGTGCCGGGACGTTGGCAATTTTGGCAGACCCCGCGGAAGTGCGCAAGTCCAAACCACCACCCGCCCGCGGCTACCCCATAAATCGCCTGCCGATTCTTCCAAACCTCACCTCCTCTCACGCGCGCCCCCCAGCGCAGCGCCCCCAGCCAGAAGCGAACACAGCCCAGCCCCAGCTCCAGCCCCCGCCCGCACCGAAACCTCGTCGCGTCGCGCGGAAGAGAGGTGAGGGGAGAGGCGGGGGGCGAGAAGGGAATACCGCTGCGGATTCCCTCGTCATCCACCACCGCTCCACCGCTAAACCCTCTCCCGTGCTCCTCCGCCGGTCGGGACGCCGAGCGTGAAAGGCGCCCGCTCTCGGCCCGCCGCACCCCGCACTCGCGCCGCGAGGGAAATTTAGCCGCGGCAGATCTAGAGCGGCGCTCTCGATCTGGCCGCGTAGACCCCCGTTTCGGCCGGGGAAATGGTGGAGGATCCTGCCGCGGAACAGGAGATGCGGCAGCTGGAGGACCGGCTCAGGGAGGTCGGGGAACGGCTGCAGGCGCCTCCCGACGACGCGGAGGACCTGCTCAACCTCCTCATCGTGAGCCCGCTCCTCCTTAGCGCTTCTTCTCCTCTCGTTGATTGTTATGCATATGTTAGGACTGCGCTTCTACGATGTGTCGTGTTTGCCGGCGCGGTTACGGCTCTGTTCGCATCGAGTATGAGTAGGAACCGGGTGAATGTTGTGCTCTTACCTGTTGTTCGCGATATGTTGATTGGTTGGGTCGCGGATGAAATGCTACTCGGCCTGGTGATTTGCTTTTGAGTTGTCTTCCGTGCTATGAAATTCGTAATTTGTTTTGTTCTGACGAAACAGGAAGTGTGCTCTGTGGAGTGTTCTCCTAGCTGGACTGTAGTACGGAGTTATCTGGTTTCCTTGGAATCAGTTTACTTTTTATCATTGCCTTTTGAGACTTGACTTCTCCTTGAACTTGAATTATATCTCTGTTTTTGGGGTTTGAAACGTGGAGCTATTGGACATGCCGATCATGGCGATTTTATTTGTAGTTTTGATGGTGCTGTTTGGTTTGAAAGGAAACTGGAAATGTTGGCCTCTTAGTATCTTATTGATTTGAATGAGGTTTTTGACGAATATAGGATTGGAGTTTAGCATTACCCTAGTTTATTCACTACTGCTCCAGATTTCATTTTTTCTTGCTGTACAGAGTAATTTGCCATGGTTTAGATAATTGGATGTACTTATACCATTTAAATAAATATGAAGACTTTGATCTTGCTAACTGACCTACCTAGGCTTGCTCCTCGAATCGTATGAAGTCATCAAGTTGGTTGATGGTTTGTTCATGCAGGAAGTTGAGGAGTGTTTACTTAAAGTAGAGCAGTCACCTCCGAAAGCACATCGAATGCTCTTCGCCCAGCAACTGAAGCTCTGGTCAAGAAAGAGCTGCTGGGCCATGCTGATTCAAATGTTAGACTTGGCGTGGCATCATGCATATCTGAGATCACACGGATCACGGCACCCGATGCTCCATATGATGACGATGCAATGAAGGTATAGTCTGCCCTGAATAAAATGATTTCTGCTGTACTGTGTGTACTTACATATGTTTTTATTTGGTTTTAGGATGTATTCTCTTTAATTGTGGGGGCCTTCAAGCATCTGGATGACATAGAGAGCCCCTTCTTTGGAAGGAGAACTTCAATTCTTGATACTGTGGCAAAAGTTCGGTCCTGTGTGGTGATGCTAGATCTTGAATGTGATGATTTGATAAATGATATGTTCCATCACTTCTTGAGGACTGTTAGGTAAGAAATAACTTAATTTGTCTTAGCTTCATCTATTTCTCCACTTTCTGGATTTCTTGATGTGCTAAAACGTGTTTTTGCTAAGATATATCCTGGATACATTCTCAAGTTCCTTTAAATTTGTCTAGCATACTATATACGTCTAAGATAAGATTTATTAAGTAACATGAGCATTGGATAGCTCCTTTTTTTTCCTTGGATCTGTTCTGTACAGGAAATGAGATCGCATAATCTACTTTTGGCGTCTGATTTGTTTCCTATTTAGATACTAAAACTATATGTGTGTAATTTTGCCAGCCTTGCTTAACTGCTAATGTTGAAATTGCAATTCTAAACTTGTCATTGCTATGTTTCTCTGGCTGGGAGGTAGAGTGCCCACTCTGGCTATTGAATAATGATAAATGAGTCTTCTTTATTTTGTTCTTAATCTTTTGCTTTACTATATCCTGCTGCTAAATTTGTTAAATAGGTCAGATCTCTTGGTTTCAGAAGTATGTGTTGTATTCTTATATTCTGTGTACAAGTTTTGAACTTTTCTGTGTCTTATTTCAGTTCTGGACATTCAGAAGCCGTCATATCCTGCATGGAAACAATAATGAGATTGGTAATTGAGGAGAGTGAGGATGTCCAACCACAGATTGCTTCATGTCTACTCCAAAATGTTAGAAAAGAAGAAAAGGTATCATCCTTCAATTTTTCTCACATCAGCAACATAGATTTACATTCATAGCATAAGGTTGACATGATCTAATAATTTTTATTTTATTTCCAGGAATCTTCTTCACCTTCCTTTGAGCTTGCTGAAAAAGTGATAGACACATGCCGTGAAAAACTGAAGCCAGTCTTTCTGCAATCACTAAAAGGCACTTCCTTGAGCGAATACAGCCAAATTGTCGCATCAGTTTGTGAAGAGGTTTCAGATGACAGGGAAGATAACAATGCTGATCCTTCTGGGAAGGACGCGGTTAGTAAATTACTAACTTGCAATGATTAATGTTGGAAATTGTTTGCTTGATAACTGTTATGCCATTCTTACAGGTGCTAGAATAGGCAATCTTGTTTTCTCTTTCTTTGTTGTTTTGTTTCAGATATGAATGTAATGCATGATTGTTCACTTCACTAGGTTCAATTGGATGATTTGGGTGGTGAAACCATGATTAGTCTTTAGAATGTAGAATGAAATTAACTACTTTCAAATGCTGGAAGAGGCTGTTTAGTTGATTTGTGTCTTACTTTGATGTCTTAATGTTCAGGTGGATGATGGCAAGCTCTCCGAAAGGACTATTTCTGATGAATTACCTCAGGTATGATCTGCATCTTCTGTATTTATGTAAATGGCTGATCTAACAACAGCATGCATATTTTTTTTTGGCAGGAATCTTCAAAGGCTGAGCAAGATGTTAGCCGTCCTGAACAGGATGGTACTTCTATGAATGGTAATACAGGTACTGCTATTAGCAGTGGTACTACTCCACCTGATACTGGTGAGTCTGATGATCAAGGACCTCCTTCCACAAAGAAGATTGAACAACCTTGCAATGCTGAAAACATAGCAGATGCTGATCAGTTGAAATCTGACCACAATGAAGGTGCTGAGTCCAATGCTGCAAAGCCCAAAAAGAAAGCTTCCCTTGATTCAGACAAAAGTACTAAGCTCAAACCGTCTGATAAATGTGAAGCAACTGTGCATTCTGATGCTGACACTAAAAAGGAAGATCTTGTAGCATCAGCCGAGGGTACAAATGGAGCAGCTGATGATGCATCAAGGCCTGCTGATAGTACACCTAAACCAAAGCGAGGCCGTCCTCCTGGCCCAAAGTCATTGCAGAAGAAAGCTGCTGGAAAGGATCAATCTTCAGTTTTGGATTTGAAAAAGGTCAAGGAGGCAGGTGAATCAGCCAGGAAGTTGGCGAAACGATCAGCTAAGGATGAGAAGTCTTCCGCAAAGAAGGCTGGTGAAGGAGAATCATCTAAGAAGACTCAAAAGAGCAATTCGAAACAGCAGAAGGATGAAACTCTTTCTGAGGATGATCCTGCCAAGGATCTGAGCTTAAAGGTTTTTCTCTCTCGTAATACTAGCAGGTTTTGTGTTGAGTTTTCAATATGGTCTGCTTTTTACAGTTAGTCCACCCTCTATTGTGTACAACATGGTCTGATTTCTGCTAGGTTGTACTATTACGGATCCCTCTTATAGTTTTCTTTGAATGTCTATTTATTTGTTCGATAACATATTTTTGTAAGTTTACTCTTTTCTGTTGCTAGGTAACAAGTCTTCTTTACTTTTTAGTCTAAAACAAATGTATTCAGAATGTTCTATTTTTTGTAACTTTGTTATTCCTTGACTTTTAGTTGCGGTTTGAGTCTACCTTTGCTGGAATTGAAACCTAGAGATTTAATTTCATGAACATTCAGCACTTTATTGGATATGGCATCATTTTTTCCATGCCTTTTATCGTGTTTGGCTGTTTGCACCTTTAATAGTGATTAGTGTACTAACTCTTTTACCACAATGCAGGAAATGATATCGCCGAAATCTTCAACCAAGGGCCCAGGTAGAACCAAAGGGCAAACCACAGAGAATAGCACACCTAAGATGAAGGAAGAACAAGAAACTGAAGAGGTAGAGGGCAGGCTTGATTAAAATTATTGCAATAGTGTTTGTCAATGTCTAGTTGAGCTTGAAATGTTTGATCAATTGGTCTTTTGCTTGGTCAAGAATTTTCATGTTGATACCTAACAAGTTCTTAATAGTTTTATATATCTGTCTTATTATTTGAATATTCTAGTCTGAGCACTATATATGTTGTATGCACATAGAATTTTGTTTATTTGTTTGTTTAGGTAACCTAGATCTGATTCTTGAGTTCCTTTTTACAGCCTCCTCGTTCAAGGAAAAGCAAAGGCCTTGATAGAAGTCTAGTTGGTGCAAGGATCAAAGTTTGGTGGCCAGATGATAAGATGTAAGTAGAATGAACAATTCAATATTCTGAACTTTTGACACTCGTTGAGCTGGTTATTTTCTTCTCTGTTTGATATTATAAACGTAGCCAATTATTTGTAAACCTGTTTCTTTTTACTTATTTATTATGTCTTGTTATTTTTGAGTAGTTCCAAATCTGACATTTTCTTTCTGATGGTTGCTATTTTAGAAATGAATATTACTATTTGGATTTAGCAAATCGCATTGCGGTGGCTTGCTATTTTTTATTCTTTTCAGATTTTAATCCTTTTATTATTTTTTTGCAGGTTCTACAATGGTGTTGTGGAGTCATTTGATTCTGTTTCTAAGAGGCACAAGGTGTGTCTTTGTGCACTGCTATATCCTGTCCTGGCTATTTAGTTTGCTGGAAAAAAGTAGTTTTAATTAATCAATCTTTATTTATTCTATGTTTCTTTTCGTCATGTTCTCTTCCCTTTCCGGAGCCTAGGTCGCATATGATGACGGGGATGTAGAGGTACTACTGCTGAGGGATGAAAAGTGGGAATTCATCAGTGAGGTATGCACATTTCACCTCATGATGATTTTATAATTTCGTATTGATTCCTTGTTTCTAATTAACTTTTACTCTGACAGGAGAAGGGAGCTTCTGTGGCATCTGAAACGTACGCAAACTCATCTTTGTGCTATTTTTGCATTCGCAATGTCAATTACATCTATATCTGTGCCATTAACTACAATTTCAAATTTGGATATTTGTTCATGCATCAGCCGGCAGTAGAACTAGTTCCCAAATTGTATTATAAGAATATGCAATGCACAGGGTCACTGTTTACTTGCCCTTACGAGAATAGGGTCACTAACCCAGTGTTCAATGCCTTCTGCTAATATTTTTGCTCACCTGCATGTGTGGACGACAGCTATAAGTCTTGTCCTTATCTACTTAGGATAATTATCTAGAGTAGTTGGTGGCTGTGTCAGCCTTTATCTTTATCCCTAGCATCTACTTTAGCATCTCTAGAATATGCTGTAGTTTTCTTAAGGCTCAAGCAAGCTATCCTATATGTATCCCCAACCTGCCATAGTTGTGGCATGGCTAATGAAATATGAAATTCAGCCCCAAACCTGTGTTTCGGTTCTAACAAATGGTATCAGAGCCTAAGTTCATCTGGGTTCTACCCTTACCCCATCCCAATCCGTCGCCATGTCTCTCCACTCATCCTCTTTCTCCAACCGTTCCACCACCTCCAAAGATATCGTGCTGCAGCTGCAGCAGCAGCCAGCCGAGTAGAGGCGGCGGCTGCCGTAAGCGTCTGGCGGCAGCGGCGGCGGCTCGCGCCGCTTGAGCGGAGTTCTTTCATGCAGCGTCTTGGTGGCAAGCCGCCACAAGGCGGCAAATGAGGCGCGCGAGGCTCAGCAAGCAGCGGTTGCGCTTCGTGGCGAGGCGGACGCGGCGAAGCAGAGGACTACTGGCGTCCGGCGGGCATGTCGGATCACGAGGAAGCGGCGGGCGGCATGGCTGGGCTCGCCCGGCTACAGGTGGCTCGGGCGACACGGTGGACGTGAGGTGGCGGCCGCGACAACCGACATCCGACGCAGACGCTGACGAGGGTTGCTTGACGGACGACGCGCGCGACTTCGGCCGGGACGAAGCGGGCGGCATCACGACGCCAATGCACAGGCTGGAGCGCGCGAGGCGCGGACTTAAGCGGGCAGGGGCGGCATATGCGGAGCCCTCGGCACCGGCTCGTCATCAGCTCCGGTCAAGATACTCACCGCTTACACCACCAAAGAAGTCCACCACCATACCACCGCTCGCCCGCTCTCCCTACACCGGCTCCCCAATCTCCTGCGACGGCGCCCACCTCCGAGATCGGCACCAGCAGCCTTGGTCCGTGATTTAGCGGCAAGACGGTGGAGTTCGCCACTCCGCTATTCGACGACGAGGATCGCGTCGATGCCTACCACGACGACGAGCCTCTGCGCTACCGCACCTTGGACAACATCTTCGGTGATCAGCCCGTTCCTGGACTGGCGGTGCACGACTTCGAGGCGGAGCTGCACCTGGCGCACGAGGACGGCGAGCCTCGCTCCTTCGCTGAGGCGGAGGGAGACGCAGCATGGCGCGCCGCTATGCAGCAGATGGACGCGGTCAAGCGGAACCGGATGTGGGAGCTGGCGGATCTTCCTGCCGGCCGCCGCGCCATCACCCTTAAGTGGGTCTACAAGCTCAAGAAGGATGAGGCCGGGGCGGTGATCAAGCACAAGGCGCGTCTGGTGGCGCGCGGGTTCGTTCAGCAGGAGGGAGTCGACTTCGATGACGCCTTCGCGCTCGTTGAGCAAATGGAGTCCGTCAGTCTCCTCGCACTGGCAGCCCAGGAGGGTTGGCGTGTGCACCACATGGACGTCAAGTCCGCCTTCCTCAATGGTGACCTGAAGGAGGAGGTCTACGTCCACTAGCCGCCGGGATTCGTCATCCCCGGCAAGGAGAACAAGGTTCCTCGCCTACGCAAGGCCCTCTACGGCTTGCGGCAGGCACCCCGAGCTTGGAACGCCAAGCTGGACTCCACTCTCAAGCAAATGGGGTTCCAGCAAAGTCCTCACGAGGCTGCAGTCTACTGGCGGGGCAAGGGAGGCAATGCCCTGTTGGTAGGCGTCTACGTCGACGATTTGGTGATCACCGGCACCAAGGAGGCCGAGGTGGAGTCATTCAAGGAGGAGATGAAGGCGACCTTCCAGATGAGCGACTTGGGCCTTCTCTCCTACCTGGGGATCGAGGTCCACCAGGACAACTTCGGCATCTCCCTTCGACAGACCGTCTACGCCAAGCGCATCGTCGAGTTGGGCGGGCTCACCGGCTGCAACCAAGCACACACTCCCATGGAGGAGAGGCTGAAGCTGAGCCGCGACAGCACGGTGATGGAGGTCGACGCCATGCGGTACCGGCGCATTGTGGGCAGCCGCCATACCTCGTCCACATGGCGGACTGGCGTTCGCCGTTAGCTACGTCGGTCGGTTCATCTGACGGACAATCGACGACGAGAGAGCAGTAGGCCGTCAAGAGGATCCTCCGCTACGTTGCGGACACTTCCGACTACGGCTTGCACTACCCGAGGTGTTCGGGTACGAAGCACTTCATCGGGTACAGCGACAGCGACCTAGCCGGCGACATCGGCACAAGCAAGAGCACCAGCGGGACGCTATTCTTCCTCGGCAAGTGTCTAATCAGCTGGCAGTCGGTCAAGCAGCAAGTGGCGGCTCTGTCCAGTTGCGAGGCGGAGTACATCGCTGCCACAACCGCTTCGACTCAAGCTCTCTGGTTGGCTCGGCTGCTAGGCGATCTCCTGGGCAGAGACGCAGAAGCAGTGGAGCTTAGGGTGGACAACAAGTCCGCCTTGGCCTTGGCGAAGAACCCCGTCTTCCATGAGCGCAACAAGCATATCCGAATCAAGTACCACTTCATTAAGAGCTGCTTGGATGAGGGGAGCATCAAGGCCGGCTACATCAACACCCAGGATCAGCTCGCCGACCTTCTCACCAAGTCCCTTGGGCGGGTTAAGTTCCAAGAGCTTCGCGCCAGGATTGGGATGGTTCAAATTCCCTAGAAGGCGCCACACAAGACTTAGGAGGAGAATGACAGCCTGTCCTTATCTACTTAGGATAATTATCTAGAGTAGTTGGTGGCTGTGTCAGCCCTTATCTTTATCCCTAGCATCTACTTTAGCATCTCTAGAATATGCTGTAGTTTTCTTAAGGTTCAAGCAAGCTATCCTATATGTATCCCCAGCCTGCCATAGCTGTGGCATGGCTAATGAAATCTGAAATTCAGCCCCAAACCTGTGTTTTGGTTCTAACAGACGCTCATAAACTGGATCTTCTGAATAGTTAAAGGTCTGGGTTATGGCGAAGTAGTGTGAGTCTCTGCTTTCAGTGTGATACATGTGTACTTTTCTCCCTGCTTTCTTATTTTTCAAATGCTTGGCTTACCGTTGTGTCAAGTGTCAATCAGGACTGAGCATTGGCTTTGGTTTCTTGGTTTGCTATGATCACTCCACATCTGTTGGAACTAGCATAATGTTAATCAAGTTTCATCTCTTAGTCTGGAAATTGTTTGTTTTTCTGAAAGAAGTACGAGGGAAATGTTAGTTGTAAACTAGTTTGTGGATACCAGCAAACTGCATAAGCCCCTGCTGGCAATTGATAATTGGTTATTTATCTGAATTCCAACCATGCCAATAATTTCATGCCTCTCGATAAGTGGTTTTGTTAAGTTTGTGTTATTGTTTGTTTCAACAGGCCACGAGGCAGAAAAAGAAAAGCGGACGCGGTGAAGGAAGAAAATACAGAAACACCTAAAAGGTAAGTAATTGATACAAAGAAAGTCACGATGACTTATGCCTGTAGCTTTTCTGAGACTACTGTTTTCTGCATGGTTGCAGTGATGCTGTGGATCCTCCAAAGAAAAGAGGGCGTCCAAAAGGTGTGCGATCCAGCAATGGGACACCTAGTAACTCAGCTACTCCGAGCACAAAGGGGAAAACTGCTGGCAAGGATGCCAAAGAAACACCTAAAACTGGCACCAACCTTAAGAAGGAACTTGAGAAGAGCTCCAAGGACAAAGCTAGTGTATCAACTGAGACAAAGGATGAATTGCCTAAAGATGATAAGAGTACGAGCAAACCTAAGGAGGCTATTAGCAAAGGCAAGGGTTCAAAAGATGAAGGCAAGTCCACTGAAGGAAAAGCTAGGCCTGGTCGGAAACCAAAAAATGCTGGTACTCCGGCGAAGAGTGATGCTGACAAGGAGAAGCGGAAGGAGAAAGAAGTCAAGGCTGCTGAAAAAAGAGCAGGAGGCATCAGGAAATGCTTCTACAGGAAAGAAGCGCAGAAGGAAGGCTTGAAGTTAACGCTGATGAACTTCTCTTGTAAATGGATGTGCTCCCTAGATTTGCTCCTTAAGGCAGAGGTATTGGCGCTGCACCATGTATTATTGAGTGTTAACTCGAAATTTCGTCTGATTGATCTTTAGTAGAAGCAACATTTGCTATAGCTGTGTAATGTTAGGAGTAACATGTGTTCGTTGTGGTCAGATCCATGGTGCATTGGTGCTGAGCCTTAAGCGGAATGAACCCTATGCTCGCTGTGAGGCCCATGGCATCTTGTTGTCGGGTGGCGTTGTAGCTTTTTGATGTTCTATTTAATTATAATCAGCAGTGGATTTTGCAGCAAATGTACCTTTTTGACCAGGATGTTGGCCTGGTTTTCAAGTTGGGCGGGTTTCTCTGCTGCATGCTAACAAACTGCTCTGGTAATCTGCAGTTTACCTCTGGATCTTGGCCTCTGCAGCGTTTTCAAGCTTTTGTTGCTGAATAGCTACTTTTTATATGTACTGATATTTGTGTTGGTTAGGAGTTAGGACAGGCCAAAGGGCGGCATCTACAAACTGCGAGTACATTTCTCTTCAAATGTGGCAAGTACCTCTGACTAAAAAATGTGTAATAAGACTAACTCAATCTCACAAAAAATGCCTACATTTTAGGTTTATAGAAAATATTTCAACATTTATATCTCCAACAAATAGATTTGTTATGAAAATATATTCCACGATTTGTTTAATAATATTCATTACCTATAATAAATATTAATTTAGTTGGCCAAATTTGAGATTCATAGGTTTCTCCAAAGCAAGAATGATATTCTTTTTTGTGATGGAGAGGGGTGTCAATATCTGCACAGCAATTTCTTTCTGCAACCTTTTCTTAAGAAAAACACTCAGAAATGGTTTTCATTCATATCAAGAAATGTTACATAGTTTGGCCAACTAGGCCATTCACAAGCTTTATCTTGTAAAAGGCAGCCATAGATCTGTCTGATCTTAGAACATTGAAGTTCGAAGCTGCCATTATCTCTAACATGAGCATTCATAGTTACTGTTTCTGCAACACTATGGATTAGATTCTTGATGCTTCCTATGTCCTCTATAATATGCCTCAATCTCCCATTCTGGTATGTTACGGATTATTGGAACTCTTTTCTGAGAGGTGTACAGTTGTAAAGAATTCAGTCTACTTGCAAATAAGAGACGAGGTACATTCCAAGAGCCTCGGCAGCATCAGAGAAGGTGCAATGAAAGAAAATGTGTTCTCCACTAGATTGCAGCTTAAGAAAGTGGTGGGAGTTTTATTGATCTTTCTATTCACTCTACTGGAACACATGCAAGTGGAACGAGTACGATTCAGTCAGTCTGCACCAGCCCCGTTAAACTGCTCTTTTTTCCCGTCATTTTTAACCGAGTCAATCAGCAACGATCAACAAACATCGACCAGGTCCTTCGCAAACACGAGAAGAAAATTGTCCCAACTTGGTCACCGCAGTACCGCACGGCACATTGCATCGAAGCATCAGAGACGGCGACCAGTTCAACCATTCCAAACACATCGAACGACTAACTCGATGGCATCACGTCCAGCGGTCCAGGTGGTCAACTAAAACACGGTCATATATCCCTCGTTCCCTCTGTCTCTGTAATTTGTTCAGCGAAACACACATAATAAGCTAGGTTTAAGTTTAGCCTGTCCACCCTTCGCGAGCAGAGACACAGACCACAGTTTGAGATCAAGATACAGTCTCGTAGTGGTCGTCTCGATCAACGTTTAGAGCAGAGTCAACTGGAGTACAAGATTGCACTGTTCATGACTGAAAGTTACTGTTCACGGCTGATTTCTTTTATAAATTACTTTAGATTCCTCTAAATTTTTTCGAGCGAACGGGCCTAGGCAGTGGGATTAGGCCGCCGCCGTCCCCTTTAAATTCGCACCATGCACCGTAGACCGTCAATTCTACTACTGGGGTCCTGCGGCGCGTGTTGCACTCATCAAACCGATAAGAACGCGTGCGTTTCTTTCTTCAAAGAAAGGAATGACGCGAGGATAATCCGAGACCGGCACTACCAGAGCCGACCAAAGATGAAGACCTGAGTGCGCTGCTAGCCTGCTACGCCGGCTCGATCGCCGTCCCCCTGCTGCTTCGCCCGACCCATCGCTTTCCTGCAGAAATTTTCGCCTTTCTCTTGTCATTTGTTGAATATCTCACTTGGATCTACGGACAGGAACGGAAGTGAGCAGTACATTTGTGTGCCATCATTTTACCTCCCATGAAAAGATGACTGTCTTCGACAACCGCTACCTCATTTCGCGTTTGGGATATAATTGCGCTAGTAGATGCCTACTAGTACACAAGAACCGGTGTCTTTGCTTTTTGCATTTCCACTCTTTAAGCTCAATCCAGCGTCCTAAAAAGGCGTTCTACCCGCCGCTGTTAAGTTGTCTCGGTTACCAGCGCTCAGGGGCAGGCCTGGTTCAGTTTCTCAACCTAAAGTTTACTTCCTATTCCATCAAATGTTTGACAAAGTATTAAATATAGATAAAAAATATAATTAATTGCACATATTGCGACTAATTTGCGAGACGAATTTTTTAAGCCTAATTAGTCTATGATTTGACAATGTGGCGCTACAGTAAACATATGCTAATGACGGATTAATTAGGCTTAATAAATTCGCCTCGTGGATTACTGAGGACTTCTATAATTTATTTTATTATTACTATCAAACACTCCCGTATGACATCCTAACATAACAACTGATATGATATCTCTAGACTTTACTGGATTTAAACACCACCTTACTATACTGAACGAGGCTGCAGCAGTGCAGCTGCCACTTTTGGAGCCAGTGAGCTACTAGTCCCAGCGTCGTGCTGCTCGAGAGTGGTTCGGGATCTTCGCCGCAGCCGAAGCACGAGCGGCCGCTTTTGGGGCGTGCAAGTGCAACGCGACACCTCCCAGTCCACTGTCCACCCCCAACCCATCCACAGAACTTTCTGATCCACTACTCGACACTTGCTTTCAGTTCCAGCCCCCAAACTCACGAGCACAGGCCCCCGGGATTGCGACATCAGGCGAAAGCGTAGGCGGCGGCGGCGTTTCTCAACCCGAAAGGGTATGGAGATGGGGCCATCGCCGGGCCCTGATCCGTCGTAGTTGGCTTCTCAGGTGGTGGCGGTGGGGAACTTGACGACGGGGCGTCGCTGCGCGTCACCGGTGTCTTTCCCCTACCCAAGCTTAGGCCAGACAGGTCCCCAACCAGGGACCTCGTACCAACAGTCGGGCACGGGATACCGCGGGAGCGCGGCGTCGCCATACGAGGTCGTCTTGGTGTCGGGGGGTGGTCGCGCTTCGCGCCGTGGATCGCGGCCTTGAGCGAGCGAGAGCGGCGGCCGGACGCCGCTGCGCCCGAACTCTTTGGTGTGCGGCGACGCCGTCGTCGGCCAAAGGGGCTCTGGGTGGGAGGAGTACTAGGTCGTACTCACGTCCTAGAGATATGAACTCTAGGCTCCCGAACCGGATCACCGTCTTGAGAGACGTGAGGTGGGCGTATAAATTTCGACCATCCGGAACTTGTTGGGACGATCAAGCTAACACGCAGAGGCCCCTACAGGCGCGCATAAGCGCCGGTGTTTGGGACGGGGGTCCTCAACCAACCGATGAATTTGAACTGCGTGCCCCCTAATCCCGGATGGTGATACAAAGAGACACAAGGTTTATCTTTGGTTCGAGCAATTGGCCCTCGTCCGATCTGAGAGAGATCGATCTTGTATTCCTTGTACCGAAGTGCTTGTGGTAGGGGGTTACAAGCTGGGTGAGAGAGGGAGCTAGTCCCAGGTCTCGGCGTGGAACGGTGCGGGCTGCTTGAGACGTTGCTCTCGGGCAGCTTGGGAGAGCGTGTGTTATAGAGTGTTGTTTGCGTGTGAGAGCATGGTTTTTTCGTAGGTTTTTTCGTTCCCCCCCAGAGCTATCCCTGGCTGCTTCCTTTTATAACCGTAAGGAGGGAGCCAGGAGTGCACGAGTGAGCTACATGTGGAGCCTTCTATAGTTTAGTCCTGTAGCAGCATGGTGTTGGGAATGGCGATCGGTACTTGACTGACGCGCTGTGCTGGCCAGGCTTGAGGTTGTTGAGGTCGTGGGGGTCCTTGTTGATGTCTAGTCAGTATGGCCTCCACGGCAGGAGACATGCCGTGCCTTGTGGATTCTTGATTTGATGGAGTCTTTGAGGCTGGAGGGTCTTTCAGTGATCGTGCTTGAGGCCTGCTTTCTTGCGAAGGCCTCAGAGGTGACCGGTGTATGGTACGGGGGTCTCGGTGGTCCGCGTCATACCCGGTTCAGGTGGAAAAGCGCAGAGCGGATGTCCACAGGGTACGGTAATCCCTGCACCGTCAGTAGGGGATGGAAAAAAGGAGATTTGACCACCGTCCCATCGCCCCTATTCTTGTACCACCTTATCCATCGTGGGCGGCGTAGTAGGTGTGACCAGCGCACTTACATGGATGGGACGGGTCGCCCGGAGGAAGCGGTTGGTAGTCGGCGAGATCTGCGGGGACGAGCCCGGCCTCACCAAAGGCGGCGGAGAAGGAAAAGTACGTCCGAGACCTGCGGGGGTCTCGGACGAAAGCGAGGATGAGCGGTTGGTCTTTCCTGCTGTTTCCGAGACTACAGAGGACATAGACTTGACCTTCCACGCTGCTTTGTCCTTGGCGCGGGGTTAGGTAGCCTGAGGCGTCTGGGTGTCGGCGAGGGGCACGATGATGTGCACGATGGCGAGTAACCCTATGCGCCCGATCCTCTGTCCGTCGATCGTTACTGCTGGCTCAATGCCGGTGTCTGCGGTGGCGTTGCGGGGAGTAGTTAGGCGCGTTAATCTGGGCGTGATGTTTTGTCGAGAGCCGGTCGGGGTGGAGGTGACGAGGTTGTTGCCGAGCCCGGCCTCGGGCGAATCGGAGAATTGGCATCCCGTCCGAGTCCTTGCGGGGTGGGGCCTCGGCGAGAGGGCCTCGGCGGGGTGGAGGGCTTTGTCCTTTCGTCTGAGGCCTCGGCGCAAGCCTCGGGCGAATCGGAGAATTGGCTGAGACCTCGTGGTTGTCTTTTGGCTTTGATTTTTGCAAGGCTTAAGCAATATTTTCGGTTCTTGCTTAG